GCAACTTTTGTGGCTAGACACAAATATTCTGATTACATTTTTCCACAGAAAAATTGAGGAATTGAGGCATTAAATGAACTTACTTGAGAAGTAGTAGCTATTGTAGACAAGAGGGAGAATGATATTTTGTTCAGCACCTTGAAACAGAGAACAGGTGGGATGAAGCAGAGAAGAAGAATGAGACAATGACAAACCCACAAAGAAAAATGCTGTTAGGTTTGAAAACACTTGAGAAATTTGAAGCCTCAGCTGAAGTAATTGATGTACAAGAGATGAAAAAGAGTTCTGAAAAACTATTAAAATGAATTCCAGTTACAGCAGAATGGCTAATCCAAGGGTTGGACAACACCGTTTAGTCCCATACAGACAAATTTGACTGAATTTCTTTTGTATTTGAGATTGAGTCTGACCCTGTTAGCCTTTGTTGGTATAATTTGTGAAATAAATTCATTAGAGTGACAGGCAGTGACTGACAGTGTCCTTGCTGTCACAATGGCTGCCTGTAGCAACTGCCACTAGACATTTCCAGACTGGGCACCATGGGATGGTCACTGGATGCCTCCAAGCCTGGGACAGGGTCACTTGAGGGAGCTGCAGCAGGCAGGTGGACAGCTGAAACCAGAAAATGTGGTTTTTTTTGTTGTTTGGGGTTTTTTCCTCTATTAAGGCAATTTCAAAAACAAGAAAACATTTATTTTTTAATATTTACTTATTTATCTATGGGAAATCAAAGTTTAAAAGACAACCTGCTTTCTAGCATTGCAGATATGTAGTGATGTACCCACCCTTGTCASCATATTTTAAGAGGCAGAGATTTTTCTGAATATTTTTACAGAAAGCTCCCAGAGATTCTGCTATGGTCTGCAAAGAGAAAACAATCAGAATAGAAGCTGCTAGTTTGAGTGCATTGAATTCTTCCCTCCTGACTGGGTCAAACAGGAGCAGACAGGTTATATACCGAAGAGCTTCTTTTTAATGATTATGTGCCTTTTGCTTCCTCTCTTTTTCAGGCTCACATCATGTTGTGTTGTACAAGGCTGAAGAAGTGTTCCGACTGCACTTAATCATGTATTAATGATCTACCCAAAGACCATTTTTAATAAAATCCAGATACAGGAATCTTGTCTGAATGGCATCAGAAGACACTTCACTCTTCTACATGAGAGCTAATAAATTACATATAGTCAAGGGAAGCCTATAATTGGCACAGCATCACCAAAATCCAGCAGTGCTGCTTAGACAGCCAGCTTGGTTTTCTCACTGCATRGTTTCAGATTCTAGGCTCAGCTGCAGAAGAGATGGGCTGGCTCTTTATCTGTGTCAAATACAGGTCTTGAGGATATTTGTGCTTATAGCTACCCGAAGAAGTCTTTTCTCCTTAACAAAGACTGCAAATCTCTACAGAAGGCTCCCAGAGATTCTGCTATGGTCTGCAAAGAGAAAACAATCAGGAACAGAAGCTGCTAGTTTGAATGGGTTGAATTTTGACTCCTCCTTCCTGTCTGAGTAAAATAGGAGCATGTGTTTCTTTCCATTTAGCTGCCAACCCTAGGCATCCTAAAATAACAGTATTTTCAACTGGCATCTGCATTCATAGAGAACAGAGATACCTGCATAGTCAAGAAATGTCAGCTGGTGAGTGCAGTATGAAATAGTTGATTGATGAGCAGTGTTTCAGGTCACCTAGCTGCCATCTGGATGTATCAATAGGATTTGTTTTGGTGATAGAAGAAGGAGAATTTGGATCAAGTTAATTCTTGAAGATATTGCTTACTATTGATTCAACAATTATAAGTTTGTTGGTCCTAAACTACAGAAGTAAGAAAAACAGATTAAGAAACCAACAAGTGTAACAGGATGATTAGGATGMCTGCCATAGGGATTGGAAGGTAAGTGCATCTGTGAGAAATAGTAATGTGGTAGTAAGGTAATTCTGATTTCTTCAGTACAGACACCAAAACATTTGTGCCACCACATACAACATTTGGCAAACCTTTACTTCGAGCAGGGAACTGAGAACTGCAATGGTCATAAGCGAAATAGTAATGTGGTAGTAAGGTAATTCAGATTTCTTCAGTACAGGCACCAAAACATTTGTGCCACCTCATACAACATTTAGCAAACCTTTACTTTTAGCAGGGAACTGAGAACTGCAATGGTCATAAGCGATGGAACTGGCAAGTGTGCACAGATAGACTGTCAGGTTGCTGAAGAAAAATAGCAAACACAAGAGTAAGAACTGTACACTGTACCCAGATGGTAAGCAGAACAATAAAAAGAGGTTTTGAGCCAGCTCAGAAATGAAACTCAAATCGAGCTTTCTAGAGGACTGAAGCAGGCCAAGAACCTATATGGTTATGAAATTATGACTGATAAGCAGGTAAAAGGATGGCAACGCTAACCCAGACAGTTCCTGGTGATAAAATGGTTGAACTTTGTCACTGGAACTTGTAGATGTCTTCAGAGTGAGACATTAAAAGGAGATTAAACWATTCTTTGCCAGTGCCTTGTGCATTGTAATTACTGGTTTACATTCCCAGATCCTCAATCACTATTAACCCCAGCATTCCTTGGGKCATTACAGTTTCAGATGTTCACGTTCACAGTTGAACTGACTCACTGGAYAGTCTGATCTGAGAAAAGGAATTCCTCCCTGTCTCCCTGGTCCTTTCACTCAGACTGGTGAGAATTTTATAGTCTTGTCTCTTCTGTACCTTTCTTGGATCATTAGGAAGGAAGTTTAACAAAACCTGAGTTGATACAGGGCTGTATGGTGCTGGCAACACCCCTGTTCTAGCCAGTTCTTTCATTATGGACTACTAGAGACTATATCACAGAAGCATGAACTGTATGGTATTGGGAAGCCTTCCCAGCTCCTGGTGAAACTGGACTAGGGAGCAAGTGTTTTCTAGGCTAAGCCAGGGAAGATGTAAATAGTTTGATATTGTACTGTACACCTTCTAGTAAAAAGAACAATCTGCGAGTCATTAGGTAACTACTAGAAGTCAAATGATCAAACCCACTGTCTACATTCTACAGAGTAAATCTGCATTATGACCAACAGAATGCAGAAACATCAGGCTTTACTTGCCTTTGTAGAGCACTCAGCCAACAGCTGTTAAACTATAATTACACTGTTCAGATGATAAGGGAGAAGACAAGGATGTTGCTTCTGCAAAATAATTGTTAAAACTGCCTTTAAAGTATAATAACTCAGTGCCAGGAAATTCCCATAGTAAAATGTACTGGTAAGAGCTTTTCATGATAGCTGCCCAACCACAGGCAGTGTTACAAGGTTATGTTCCCTAGATTAGAAACCCCCGGAAAGCAAAAAAAACAACAAAAAAAAAAAACCAAACAAACAAAAAAACAAACAAAAAAACCCCCAAAACACTGCCTTGGCTCACAGTATTTCCCACTGCATTGCTTTCTTTCATATGGAAACTCTTGGAACTCTAGCAGTTTACCAACTTTTCTTCTCAGATTGCAGTTCTGACCATCTTTAGTCATGTGAGACACTTTTTTTTCATTTTAGAACTATCAGGAGCAATTACAAGTGTCTTATTTGTACACTTACYTTCAGATATTTCTGCTTACAAAATGAAGGGTATGGGCAGTCATTTCAAGGATTGTTTTGTCTTTGAACTATCTTGTATTGACTTTCCAAGTCATCTGCAAGTCCCAGGAACTCTTCACCCCACATATCTTAATAACCCCTAGGAAGCAGTTCTTTCTGCWCCCTGAACTGCCATAAATTATGCAACTCTATCCAACCAGAATGAAAGATAGATTAGATTTTTCATATAATCTTAATGGTTTTTCCATATCCATCTAAAGATCTCCACTGTTTTAAAAATAGCTTGATTTTCACTTGGTTTTACCATTTGCTAGAATTCTATGTAAGCTCAGAAGTCACAAACTGGGATTTTTTTTTTCAATAAAACAGACGATTATGCAACCTTGCTTTAAGAGTGCTAGCAGAGCAGCAGCCCCATTGTGCTCTCTTAATAAGCCTCACTTTGGCTTTGATCAGTTTCCTGTGTTCTTTAGTATCATGTTCACATGYATCAGTCAACATAATTTACTTTCTCCCTTCATCCTTATTTGCTATTTCATGTAGATCAGAATGTGCACTGTATGAAATTAGTGATTGTTTTGTCCCAGCTCCTCCTTTTAGACTTAAGAGTCCCCGGTTGATTGCCAGGTGCACTGAGTTACCMAGAAAAAATCTGTAGTTTTGCTAATAAAGCACCTTCACAGAAAAAGGCATCTTGACCTTACCCGGGTTTTAGGTAGGGAGAGACAATAATGTGCCTTTTATGTCTGAGATAATTTGCAACAAAATTAGAGTTGTTGAATAATACCCCAAATGCATTGAAGGTGTGGAGCTACCTGAGAGCTATTGTGATGCTTATGCAATTTAAAATTCAGGTGTAGGCACTAGGAAGGGAAGAAAAGCAGCTTCCAAGTACTGTCCCTTCAAAGRGCTTAATTACTCATTAGGAATAACCATGGCAACAGTTACCATGCCCCATTAATCCATCACACAAGTGGCCAGCACCAGCTGCTTCAAGTTAAGGCRGAAGAGGACCCTGCATGAGAGTCTGTGTTCCTCTCACAGAAAATCCTTCTTTCTTAATCTAAAAACTCTTCARTGTATTTCATGACATTGCGTTCCCTGAGTTAACCATGTCCTATTAAAAGTAAAACCCATATTATTCTTAAAAAAATTAAGAATATATTTAAATGCACTAAATACATTTTCTCGTCTGCTCCAACCATTCACAATTTGTTAATGGTTGCATATTTTTTACAGGTTTCATTATTGTTTATACAACCAAAGTGCTTTTTTTCTTTTCTATTAGACTAAAAATTCAGTGYGACTTAGAAAGTCTTCATTTCCAGGAGTCTCTAGTAGTTGAGGGAATGAAAACTGGAGCTGCTTAACTGTCCTTAAACTGTGTGTATTGAGAACACAATGATACAAAACAAACTTCTTAAAACAAGATTTATTGGCACAAACATACATGTTACAAATGTCTACGATATTCTTGGAAAATATGTTCACCACTTCAAAAAAATCACTGTTCACAGAAAAGTACAGTAATATCAAACTTTGTAAGTCATCACAATTTCAGCATCAAAATGCATGCGTTTTATCATTTATAAATGAAATTCCACTGACCTCCAGGTAAAGCACTTTAAGAAATGTCCTGGTCTCCACAACATTATTTTTCCTTTCCAGATAGTTCCAATAAGGTGCAAATGGATTGTTTTCTGTAGAGGCACAAATCACAACTCCTTGCTCAGTATAGCTGAGTCTATGAGGTGAGAGATGCTGTTCTCAGCACAGACTTTCAGGTCCTGTCTCAGTGTGTTACTACACAGTTTAACACCACTGTGTGGCCTTTCAAAGAATGCAATTAGAGATTGGGTCTGGAGTTTGGGTTTTTAAAAGGGCAACTGAAAATTTATTTCTGATTATTCCTACTACACAAAGTAAAGCTTAAAGAATTACAAGGAAAGAGGTAGAAGAAAGGGTTTTGTTTTGCACTGCCATTCCATCAGCATTTGAAACAAGTGTGGCATTACCAAGGTGACTTGTGAGGAGAAAGAGTGATCTCAGCAAATCCTCTTCTTTCTTTGGTGCCAGTCTAGTAATTTAAAAGCCACTCAAAATTTTGTCACTGATCCCAGACAACACAGAACAAGGCTTTACCAGATATTCTGAATCTGATCCTATGCCTATGCGCAGTTTCAGTGTCAGAGAAGCAGGCTTCACACACACAGAGGGGAGACACTGCACTGATATCCTCAGCACAATCAGATCTGATTTAGTCCAACAGCAACAAGWGAGAAGGAAAATTTCTTGATGTCAATGGAAGTTCTTTGAAAAAGGGGGGTGCATTTACTTCCACTAAATCTGGATTTGATTCTAATGAGATCAGTGCACAACTGAAAAAAACGGCAAAACCGTAAACCACATGCACTTACAAAGGTGTTTCCTACACTTTTATCAGCCTTGGTAGGGCAGAGAACATATCCAATGACAGAATTTGTTGTAGAATCATGGGCCTTGGAGATTTTCAAAACTCATCAAGACAAAATCTGTCTAACCTGATTCAACTTCAAAGGCAGCCCTGCTTYGAGCAGGACATTGGACCAGGCAACCCCAGGGGTCTCTTTCTACTTAATTTTTTTATCATTCAAAGGTAAAGTTTTTCCTCTTGTGAATTAGAGCATGGTACAGATTCCATATCAGGCTTGGATTTAAAAAGGACAAATGAGGGTTTTTTTGTTGTGTTATACAGAAAATAGAAATTCACTATATGCTTAGGCACATGTTGAAATCATTTCCAGGACAGGGCATGCCTTGCTCTTCTCTATAGGCTGGTGAGTGTGAAATACTACAGGGCTGAACTGATTAYATAAACACCTCCAGAGGCTGCTCTTCTGGGTTAAGACTCAAGCATAAGTCATTAAGAAAAATACTAATTAGCTAGCTATGAACTCATTTCCTGCAATRAGCATAACAAGTTTATAATTAGAGTTCATATATTGCCACTTAGAGAACTTTTTATGCTGCAAAACAAACGAAAGGTTGCTCGCAACTGTTTCATCTGGCTGCTTCATGTCTTTAATACTTGGAAAGAGAGCATCTCRCCCAAATGGCAAATGCCTGTCTACATATATGAGCTTCTTTCAGAAAGGGGAAGGAAAAAAGGAGTTGTCAAATAAAAATTAACCTCTACAACAGTTGGTGCTTCCCCCTCAGAAGGTATTTTTGCAACAGACAAAGCATTTAAGTTTTTAAGTCCTACTCTCAAGTAGGAGGTACTAATTTCTGATCTTTCAGTTATGCTGATAAGCCTAATGTGAGTAATATTTTACCATGTTTGTGGTTGGGGGATGGATGAGGCTTTATTTACAAGACAAAATAATGATGTTTTTCATGACAAGTAGTGGGCTATCTGTAACATTTTATGTGCACACCTGTGAGTGTGTCATAGTAACATTAGCATTTTATTGTCTGGGGAAAAAGCAGACGGAACACAGATCGAATTTAGCTTTTCTAATGAGAAAAACAATATTCTTTTGTCTGTAGTTAGGCTTTGGAAGCTAGTTATTTGACTTTTTATAGCTGCTAATTGCTTAAATAATACTTAAATAATTAATAGTAAACTATATAGCCATAGTCTTCACCATACATTTCTACTTATATTCAGAATATTTTTTCCCTTTAGGTTTCATGAAAGGCTGAACTTGSATTATTTAGTAGCTTGCTAGTGGCAGAGTAGTCCCACTGATCAATGAATTTTCAGTTCCAGCCAAGATTACTTCCATTAATAAAGAAATTGTAGCAAACTTTCAAGTCTATTCCAATACTTTAAATATTAATAATTAAACCTCTGAAAAAAACTGTGCATCTATAAATTTGTAGGTCTATTATATGCACTATTTCCATCCTTGATCTTACAAAGAAAATAATTGTGGCTGCCATTATTTACTTGTACTTTAAACAAACTGCAATGTCTCGGGAGAAACTGATTTAATTCTTTTAATCTTTTCATTACAATAAGCTCAGACCACCACCATGTGTTCACATATATATGACAGGAATGTAATGGAATTGGCAAAGTGATTTTCTGTCCTCTCCTTAGACTGTTTATAGGGGGGCAAGCACAGGTACTGTAGTGGAACAAGAGTAAGCAAAACAATTATGCTGTGCCAAAAAGATTCCATTACTGAGACCAAATTGCTCTAGAACAAAATGGACATTCAGTCTGTATCTTTGCTGCACCAAGCACTCTGAAGTCCTGATTTGATTGGAGTTTCTTGACTACTTCTGCAGCTGCCAACAGCAGCATGACTTGGGATAGAATACCCCAAATGGTGTTTGCTACAAAAAATGCTACACCACCCTTCCTGCATGTATCTCCTGCATTTTTCAGAAAAAAAAACACTATCATCTGTCATCGTTCATTTTTAAGTATTTGAATTTAGTTTAATAGACAAGCACTGCTTAATTTTAATATACAGAAGGTGCTCTTATGAAAAGTAGTTTACTAATGTTGGTGATATTTCACTTAGACCATATCCCAATTTACTCTATTGGGATTACTACAATATCCTTATTTGTTGTTTCCTCTTTTTCCAACAAAACTAATGAAATCACTGTTACAAGAACTGTTTGATAAATTTAATTAAAATTCCATATTACAGTTTAAAGTACTGTAGCAAAATTGCTGTTGTTTAGCTTTCTTTTGTATCACATAATTTTGAACCAAATTAAGACCTAGGAGCCATATTGTGCCTCCAGTGTTCTCGACCAGAAACTGGAGGCTGGTTTGAGCTGGGCATTATGGGGAGGAGATTCTGCTTCAGTCAAGACCTAGCTGAGTTCTGGCTGAGAGCAACAATTACAGTATGGCAGAAGGCAGGGAGTCAAATCAGAGAGCAGAACAACCCTAGCCTCCATATACTGTGTTCCAAATACGGTACACTCCAAAACCACAAAGGCTTTCTAAGAGAACAGAAAGACACTTGAAGAATAATGGATAAGCCAGACACTGGTCCAGAAGACCTAAAGAATGGAGAAGGTTTTTTCCATAATTGTCTTTGTTGTTCTCTATGATATTTTCTCTTTGAGAACAAGTACTTTGCCCTTTTAAACTTACAGCACATGGYTTCTTTGGTTGAATAGAGTGTTATGTGCAAACCACGAGGCTGTATTCATGTTTTAAACCGGTGCAGGTTATGGTTTTGCTTTGGAGAGTTAGCAGATGTGATACAGTCATGACAGAATGAGGTTACTGCAGGAATGACTCATTGTTGAATAATCAAGTGTTTACTCCACCAAAACTGCATGTAACCAGACTGCCACAGTTTTTCTGCTTTATTCTAAGATGTAGCTTTCAAATGTCAGTGCACCAGGAAGGAAGGTAAACTCCTCGGGTGGCTCAGATCTCTTTATGCATGTGTTTAAAGGYAGAGAGTCTTACGGCTCTCAATGGAGAAGAAAAACTAATGAGCACATCAATTGAGACATACATTAATGAACTAAGGGAAATTACCTGAAGAGGAAAACAAAATCCTTTCTTGAAGCAGAATAGAGAAGAATTTCTGAAGTTGACTGCATGAAGAAAGAACAAGTGGTGTGAGGTTCTGGTTGGTTGTTTCCATACAATCCAAACCTAGTATCAGTACTGACAGTAATATTACCATATGAGAAACCTAGCCAATAATTTCTCTAGGTATAATTCATTTTTTTCAAGCTTTTAAAGGAGCTAATTTGAGGGTGCTTGTGCTGTCTCTTGCTCAAATGTATCTTGCCTAACAACAGGGACGTAAATCATGTGAGGAACAACTGATTGGAAGAGCATCTCAGTCTTCTGACTACACAGAGGGCCCAAAGGTTATGATCTGTTACAGGTCTAGAGTTCAGGTCAGGATGCAAATCCAGATCAAAGACTTTGAGGCCTTTCTCTAATACTCACTGTGTACATTGGGAGGGAGCCCAGTGCCTTATATGGCTGCTGTTTCAGCCCTCTTACCTGTTTAAAGGGCAGGAGAAGGGTTGAGATCGAAATCCTGGATCATATCCAAGTGCTCTCTAGGTTATTTGTGAAGGTCTACCATTAATGTGCAGTCAAGGAGCTCTTATTCAAAAAAACCCCTAACATCAGATTATACATATTTCTACAGTGTGGATAGCCTCCCAAGGATTAGAAAAAATTCACTCTGTAAAAGTGTGAAAGAATTGAGTAACATCAAGCTTCTAAAAGTTCCTGAAGTTTGAGTTTCCCATGGTAGATGTTCTTCTGAGAAGCAGACATTATCATTTTGCAGGTATGCTCTAATACAAATGTCAAGTCAGGAACTGGCTCTGAAGAGCTAAAATTCATTGTATTCAGATAAGTAGTCCAGCTGCTCATAAAATTAAATTAGGTGAAGCCCTGTCAGAGGAGAAGTGACATGAAAAATGCAGAAATGGTAGAATTTTCAAAGGTCTTGTTACTCAAAAGCCTAGCAGATTGAGGTTGTTCCAATTCGTTCCTTGCACAATCAATACTGTCCTGTTCTTCCCTCACTGTGAGTGTTTAAGTCACTTATTGCAGATCACTATATAAAAAGAAAAAAGCCAAATATTTTACTTGGCTGAACTTTTCCCAGGACTAACATTATGCAGGTTCCAACAGAATTAAAGTGCCAGCTTTAGAAATCCAACTGACTACATTCCCAAACCACTCTTTGTCATACAGACCCTAGGTAGCATTCAAAACCTTTATCAGATTCTCCCATCCTCCTTGTAATAGTATTGGAATAGGTTTGACTCTGTTGGATTGAYTGTGGTGTTACATAATGTTGTCAAGTGAAAATCAGGTCAACTACCCCATTAGGGCTTCCACAGGAAGTTCTGCCAAGCTCTGTGCAACAATGTTCTCAGGTTTAAAGGCACATCTGTGGTACTGCAAGGTGAGCTAAATTTGAGAGAATGCCTAATGCCCAAGCAGGGCCTCGCTAGCCTGTTGCTAGTGGATGCAAATAACACTTGTTCAAACTCAGAAGCTGATATATGATCATTGGCAAGCCAAGCTGCAACCATGGTACATGCACTGAACAGCTCTTAACAGCTCCTTGCAGCTATGCTGTGTGTGAAGGGCATCTCCTGCTGTACAGCCTCTGAGACGCACAGCTGGGGCCCAGAAAGCAGAGGAAGCGCTTCTTMCAAGGATGGAATATGAAGGTCTCAAACGATGTCTAATTCTGGATAAAGCTATCAAAAGCATTGCTTCCAGACAGAGTTCAGTTTGGTCCCCAAGGTGGCAGTGGCCTTGGGGTCCCCTGAGGGTTTGCTGGGCAGTCACTCAAAGGAAGCTCTCTTGTGATGTTTTACCAGCCCAAGGGAAGAGCCTAGGCAGTAGTTAGTGAGGAAAAGCAGGAGCTGAAATTCTACCCTGTAGYTGAAATTCTAATCAGTGCTGACTGAGCAAGAATGACTTAAACTTTTAGAGGAAAATTTGCAGACAGGCAGTTGTAACTGCACGGACATTTAAAATGTAGAAGCAGTAAGTGGAAAGCAATCAATCCTGGCTTCAACACAAATAAGATCTCCAACTGTGTTTATACAGATTGTCCTCTGCACTGGTCTACACATATRTGATGCTGTTGCACAATCTATGACCCTGCACAGTTCCATATTACCATATTCTCCTTGCTGAAGATTTAACCCTCTGCAAGAGCAGTTCAGGCTCTGGGTCTGTGCATCAGGGAAAGACACACTTGTTCATGCTTCCTGGGCTGACTTAGAAAGGTTATGTGGCTTATCTTATTACAACCAACCACCACAGCACAAGTAGTAGCAAACATTGAGCATTCACAAGCATACTATGAAAAACTTTGTAAAGTTAAACATATTAATTTAGCATATTTAGTATCACACAGGAGGAAAGAGTCTCTTCACAAACATTCTATGACCCACTAGATGGTAGATTGCTTAACTCTTTGTTGCAAATTCTCACTAATTTTAGCAGTCATCCCAATTAGTTTTSAGAGAGAATGGGCCCACATTCCACAGACAGCAGTTTCTATTCTCCACTCTCACTGAAAGGTCCCACTTTGATTGTTAATTTGCTTGAACTACATTAGCTGCGAGGATGTCAGCTTTGCATCCTTGTATCACTTTCCCTACAGTTTTCTTTGGGATCTTTGCATGTTTGTAGCTAGAGAATTCAAACTCTTCAATGTGTATTTATGGTCCTGTCAGCTGAGTAGTCAGTTCAGCCTCTCATAGGAGCAGGAACATCTACATTAAGGCTCAGTATCAGCATATCACCTTACTGATGGCACCAACTCTCAATAAAAGCTACCTTCATCTCAGGAGTCTTTTCAGCAGAGAAGCCCTGTGAGGATTAAGCCATGCTAAACATGGGTGTGGGTGGCAGGGTCTCACGAGAATTCTTTCAACAGCAGCTATCCAATTACCTTAGCACTTTAATAATGGTCCTGAAGCTGGATGGCTTATTCCCCTACCAGTGAAAGCTCAATTATACATAATAGTTGTGTCACCTCATGGTCTTCATCACATGGCCCTTCATCACTGCTCAGATTTTTGTCTGGCCCATGAGGATTTCAGAATTGTTTATTTTCTCACTCACCTGAAGGACTGAAGTGAACAGGGCATACCAGGGAGTCCAGTATCACATTAGTGACTTTGAATATTCATTAAGACCAGGACCACTTAGGACTTAATGATATGAAACAGTACATGTGATTATGAAACAGTAAATATTTAGGGAAAATACTACTGGAACCTTTCAATTGATCATTACTTATTCTCTTTGCAAAATTCTACTTCAGCTCAATTTGTACATAGATTCATAACAACAAACTGGTCTGGGTCTCAATTTTTTTTAACCTAAAAATGTCAAGAGAGATACTCCACAGTGGGAATATTTAGACTATTATTATCTCTGTTTCTATTCCCTAATTGAATTACAGACAAAAAAACCCTAACCCGCAATTTTATTTTTAATTCCATGAATTCTTTCAGAAATTCTGAAGGAGTTATCCTAAAAGACCCTTTTCTGAATTTCCTGGCTCAAAATTTGATTAATTCWTTTTTAGTTTTGTTAACGATGATTAAACTATTCACTGTTTTAAAAAGAAAGAAACAAGAAATTCACAAGAGCATACAACAACTTTCTCTCAAGCCACAATATATAATTTCCATTAATTACATCAAATGTTAGTTTAAATTAATTGAGTATAATAGGTATCTCAGCTGAGCACTTCACAAATATGACACTATAGTTTATGAACTATCTACATGCACAAATTAAAAATATTTTTTAAAAGCCTATTAACACACTGTTTTGAACAGTGTTCCTCTTCTCCAGGAAAGCATTGCTAGGCACCCCTTTCTCAGCCTCTCCACTGTTCCCCCCTCCTTTCTTCCTGATTTTTGAACTATCCTCACAGTGGGGACCATTTCTGCAAACTGGTGCAGAGGCAGCTTCCTTCAACAGACCTGGGAAGCCACAGACATCACCAAAGCTGCTCATGTACTTTAAGTTAGGGTCTAACTATTGGGGACTAGCATTCAAGAGATGTCCTATGAAATCTGACAAACAATGCCTTGAGTCTTTAGCAAGAGACTGGATCYGAGTCATTTGTGATGCTTGTGTTATCACTTTTGTGTTTCACTTGGCTTTTTCAAGACTGTGCTAGCTAATCCTTTTTGGTTGTTATACAGTTTTCTTTCCAGCTTTTAAATTGAGGCCATCTTGGTTGTTCAGAACACCATGAGGTGTTTTCCATAAGGAAAAAATTAAATCCATAAAAGATGATAAACCAGTCTTATTTATTTTCTGCAGACAATGTTTTTAGACTTGTATTCTACATCTAATCTCAAAAAAATCTGTGTTTGGTTGGCTAAGTTGAAATATGATATCTTACATGAATACTTGTAGGTATCACTCTCTTCGATGGGACTAGTAGATACTACCTCAAAAAGTTACATCTGACAATGGATTTTGCCATCCARCTTTAGGAGCTCAGATTGAGAATTTTGGCCCTAATGTTTCCTGCAACCTTAGGTTTGGGTCTAATCCATCTGACAGTGTCCCTTTGAACAGGAGCTTTCCCATAGCTGCATTCTCTGATTCTGAGATGTTGTAGGATGCTTTTCGTATACTACAGTTTCTGAAGGTCAGTGCTTACACATTTTAAGACACAGTGATTAGACAGTGTATGGAACTACTTGGCAGTATTTAGCTGGTACAGTTTCTTGTGGAAACAACAGAATTCCAAAATACACCACACTGAATGCTTATGGGTTATTACAAGCAAAAATCCCAAGACACCGGGAATTAAAAAGCGGAGTTCAACAAAGGAACACTGATATCGTCGGTTGATATGAACAAAGTTGTGCCAAGTCTTCCTTCTTTCCTTTTTCAAGTGGAGAAATAAACTGGGAAATGAAGCAGAAGGAAAGAAAGATAAAAAAAGGACAAAAACCAACAGTTATTACAGAGTTACTCTTGTGCTTTATCTTACAGAAGCGTAATGTGATGTCAGAGAATTGCAAATATCTTTAGCACTTCTTAGTTTAAATGACATGACATATCTTGCATGCAATGTTCCTTCCTAGCAGTCATGGGGATGCTACTCCTCTGTCAAAAGGCAGGATAGCCATTCCACCACCCATGGTAGCCTGTTGCTGTGAGGAATGACTCAGTTTATCTGCACCTATAGCCAGCCCTTGTGGAGGGTATGACCTCATTCCCATTCAATTCACAGACTGGAAAAGTCATGCAGGCCTTGTATTAACAGCACTTGGATGCTTGATGTCTATTGGATTCAAACATATACTTGAGAGCTATGTAAATAAATACAGCATTGAGTTAAATATACAGGGTCCTGCCTGAAGCTGCATCCTTAAGGCACTTACTACAGAAGAATCAAATAGACTGAAAAAGTAATTKGAACTACACTTAAAAATCTCACTGACCTGGTACTAGATCTCACTTTGGTGAGCCAGAGCCTGGGTTGAACAACGCGACACTCAAGTTTGTGATTATACACACTAAACTCAATATAATGCATGTCAAACAGGCTTTTTAAAGTTACCAGGTATTTAACATTTTAAACCAGGAGTGAAAAAATGTTTTTACTTCTATATATTTCAGTCTTAAACTTCTGCGGAGGAGTTATGAGCTATCTCGACCACTTTTTACTTTCATGTTAAGATTCACATAATGCTCAGTTATATATACACAGCAATTAGCTCAGCATCTTCCTTTATCTGGCTGCTGCACTAGACTGCAGAACAAGGGCCAGTCTTTCTCTTGAAGCCAGTTGCCTCGAGTACCCAGTTAATATAGTTAATTAATATCTAACCATTTCCCATTCTTRCTGTAACAGTGTTACGAAACCCTGAATTATTCTGGGTCACTCTGATGCCAGCATTCATAAGGCTAATAAACTGTCACATGTATCTCATTCCATTTAGTCATGTTTACAGGTGATTCTGGTGATTCTGTAAGCCTTCTTTACAGGAGCAACAGAGGAAAATGGAAACATGCTGAATATGAGGCATGTAATTTGAGAGCTGGGAATTAACTCATATCCACAGTCTAGCCTTCTGGTGAATCTCTTCTGGGTTACTACCTGCATTGTCTATCTGTAGAAATCTCCCTTTTAGGAGTTAATGCCWTATTACAGTTATGTCACGTAACAGCTGTTGCTAACACAGGGTTACATAAATAAAATGTTCAGTTCCTGTCATTACAAGATCCCTGAGTCCCAACCAGCATGACTGCTATTATTCATTCACAGCTAACTTTCCTACAACAAATGCATGGAACGAGATGATATTTTAAGCAAAAAAAATCAGCGAGACTTCAGGTCATCTTTTAACAACATTTGGGCATTCAAAATGTGAAAGGATCTACAGAAACATTGACATCTCAAATTCTAGCTGATATGGTGGGAACTAGGCCCCTACATGCTTTAAAAAAATTCATCCAATGCTTATTTGCCTGTGTGTGCCTTCATCCTCTTTTTATAGGCATGAGGTATTTCAAGAATTACTGTTCTTAGAAAACACCATGACTGTGGCACTCATCATAATGAAATGAAGATCTCTGAGACTGCATAAACAATTATTTAAAATATAAAAAGGGAGAGCTTTTAATCCTAGTGAAAGTTATATAACATGCTAATGTAGAAAACATTAAAYGTCAACAAATTCTGCCAATAGGTGTCCAGGGCGTTTGCAGTAATTTGCACTATAAAAGCACTAGAAGGGAAATTTCACAAATTAATTAGTTTAAATATTTTATATCCTTTTTTTTTGTTGTTTTGGTTTTTAATATATCAACCATTCTTAAGTTCACAAGCTATTGAGATCATAAACAAAAGAGAAAGAAAATTACTCACTTATAATTATAATGAGAATGACTGCGCATACTACACCAAGGATGATCATCATCTATAAAAAGAAAGTTATAAGAAAGAAAAACAGAAAGTCAGGTTTTCACATGAAAGACATTAACCTCTCATTTTTTTTGCTTTTACTTGGTGACTCATTCCTCACACTTTTAAATGCTGTAAAGATTCATTAAGGACCCGAATTTAGTGTCGGTTTCAAAACCAGCTGCCCACCAGCAATGGACAGAGCCTCTTGGCAAAGACAGCCAGTTCTTGCCCTTCAGCTAAATATGCAGTGGACAACCTCAACCATTTCTAGCAGTGAAGAAAAATTTAATTTCCAAAGTAAAACAACACTAGTGGCTGGGTTCACACATTATGGCCGTGTACAACTTTATACCAGAGTCACTTGATCACTTTTCCCCATGTTCCTGAAGTCWTTGAAGAGGCAGCTGGAGATGTCTAAATCCCAGCAACTATTTGGGCTGCTTTGTGTGCTTGTGAGAGGAAGCCTATGCTAGCCGGAACAGTTTCCAGCATGGTTTCCAGCACGTTCTCCTGGAAATAGCTCATGGCAAAGCAGGAGTCTGTGGCTCTGAGAATCACTTGAGATTCACTGAACACTAACGAGCCCTCCAGGGATGCTGCAGTCCAGTTGCATTATTACCCCACTGAGTAGAAAGGCTGAAAAACAACAAACAAGTCAAAGCAAGGCCTTTGTTCCTCCTAACATATGTCTGGAAAACTGAGCCAGCCASTGACTTGCAGGAGATTTTCTTTTTATTTCTTCTGTCTCTTCAACAGGCTAAAGCAGGAAGGGACAATGAAGAAAGGAGAATGAGGGTAGGTTTGAAGGTCTAGTGTAGTGCAGGTCATTGCAGTCACATGGGTGAACCTAACTCAAAATCTGTGCCTGTAGGTCCCAAAAGCCCTGCTTCCAGCACTTCTAGGCATATCAGGTGGGCAGCAGCTAAAAKAGTCCCAGAGGACCTGCTCAGTTGAATTTCTAACCTAGATCCTCTTATTTCTGGAGTGTTTGTACATGTAGTTTACCTAGAAGATTTTGCCTTGCTTTACATTTCATAGCACTGTGGCATGAAGAGACAAAGCAAACAACAGACTAGAGTGGGATACGTGTGGGATTCTCCCTTGGGAACAGGTGGTTTTATTTGGGTGGACATCAGTAGCCAGCGCAAATGGAAATGGAGCTGAACTTTAGGCATAGTGTTCCTGTTGGTGGTGCATGAGTAGAAAKGAGCAAATTCATAGGCCTCAGATGRGTAAGAGGAGAYRTTTCCAGGTCCAAAAYCCAYARTTACTGGAGAAGGTCGGAAAAAGCAAAGGAAAGTGAGATTTCCTCTGCTCTTGGGAAAGGATTAGTCTTTGAAAACAGCAGAGAAGGCGTCTGGTTGCTGAAAGTCCTGCTTTGTCCTAACCAGCTCCTCTTTATAAGAGAGAATAATTTCCTCCCTCCTCACAGCAGTTTGTGGAATTCTGTTTATAGTTTACCATCCTGAAGRAAAATCAAAAGGCTGATGATCCCCACAAGGAAAAAGCTTCTTTTATCTCACTACTAGAATTCACTGCACCTGGCCAGGTTCACACAGAGAACTGACATGAATTGACATGGAATGCTTTCCCATCCCTATTTGAAGAAACTAATGAAGCATCAAAAATTGCACTACATTTTATGTACTGCAGAAATTATGGGTTCTGGTAAAGAACAAAGTTGCTTGACTTACGGAGCCTAGAGGTCAAGGCTCTCTTTCTCTGCATGGCAAAAAAGATGATTCAGAGGTGCCATCCTGCAGGCAAAGTCCCACAAATGCAAGTGAAAGTAATTCCTGCCTTGAAGGGATTCTCAACAAGAATTTCTATTCCTTACCTTGCAATTTTTCCACCAGTATTTCCTCTTCAGTTTGGCTGCACTGGTCTCAAACTGTGAGGCACCTGCTTGCAATGCATCTGCCCGGTTGTCGAGCTCCGACAGCTTCTGGTCTCTTTCCAGCACCTTGTCCACRTTCATTCTCATGATGTCAACCACCTGCAAAGGCACAGACACACMTGAGACTCCTTGCATAGGAAAGCTGAAGGGTGTCTGTCTGTTGACACCCTGAAATATCCCACATCATCCTAAAGCCAGCCATTTGCCATTATGATGTGTGATGGTATTGCCTGGACAGTGCCCCAAACCCCAGTTTATGGAAACACACCCAGTGAGAACAAAGTGAGCTCAGCTAGGCTATGCTCAGATGCCTTTTAAGGTAGAAAATAAAGAGACATCATGAAATACCATAGTTGATTTCATTAAAGTTTTTKATTTCTTTTAGCCAAAAAATACAGATACAAAAACCTGATGAAGATCTTTATAYCACAATTTGGTTGACATCACTAAGGACAAGCCATTATTTTCCTTATACATTTAATATCTTCCTTATCTGAACTAGAGAAATTAGCTAGATAAGGCCACTTTWAAGGGAACTGTAAGCATTTCCTCACCAAAGAATTTTCTCATTCTGCAGATCTTTTTGGGTAAAATGACTTCTCAGCATTATTTGAAGTCCTGCTTGAAACTGGAGGAGGAGAACTTTTTAACTGAGAGAATTCTGTCTGAAGAGTAGCAGAGCTGAAGCTGTCTTATTGAACAGCCTTGAAATAGGTAAGGGCTGTTCATACCTATATTTTATACATTGAGTAAGATTAAAATCCTCTTCTTGCAAGCCAGCAACTAGACGGAAATCCTGTAGAAATTCACCACTAATGCAAATGTCAGACAGTGTAMCAATCTCAGTGAAGTTGTGTCCAATTATTCTATCAGTGAATGAGGCTGATGGTCTGTTAATTCTCATACTCGGTAATAAGGAATTCCATGTTATACATATTTAATAYAATTTAACTATTATCTGAAAAATCCTGACTTATTAAAAACATGCATTATTCAAATACAGTGAAATGAAATTGTTAGTGAAAGAATCTTTAAAAGGACTGGTAGAAGGTCTCAAAAGATTTATTTCACTTTACCAAACCTAAACTAAAATTAAATGCTTTGGGCAATCCAAATATTCTTACTTGCTTTTCCAAACCAAAACCTTCCAATCATTTATCTTCGCACAAAATAATAATAATTTTTTTACATTATTCATTTCACAGCTAGTATTTAGCTGAATTTTATCTTTGCACAATGTCATTTCACAGCTAGTATTTAGCTGAATTTTATCTTTGCACAATGATTTGTAGTGAAAATTTTAAACTATTTGAAAATGCTGAAACAAAATACTATTTCTTACCCATTCTCTTAATTTTTTTTTTCTTTTGGCTCAGAGTTACTTATCGAATCTAACCTGGCTGCAGTGAACACTTGTTGAGATGAGATTTTATTTTTGTCAAAAAAATAAATGTTTGCCTGGGCCTATATTAGAGAAAATAACCTCTAAGATGTCTAGAGGAATCAGATGAGAAAACCCAATAGGGGTATAGCTGAAATACTATATCGGCATTGGTATAGCATTAAAAATCTCAGTGATACCGCGCAGACCCAAGGTTTCCTGCGGAGCCGGGCTCGGAGCGGMGCTGGCCGTGGCTCTGCTGCCACCTACGGGTGACATTCCCGCACGACGGGAGGAAAACCGGCCCGGACAGATCGGGGAGAAAAGTCAAAGCAATGCTCACAGCCCGGACCTGCAGGGTTCCAAACCAGCGTCACCTCAGTGACCTCACAGTGCTGGAAGTGCCGCTTTGCCTTCCTTGGCTATTCTTGTACTGTGATTKACCTGTTAAACACGGATCTGCTGACCATAGAAAACCTGTATTAACTGCAGCCTTCTCTCTCAAATGGGAGGCAAAACCCCCATGAATCCTGATTTTCACCCACATCATCCTCAAATCCAAGAGCTACTCATTGTTCCCTCAAACTGGCCAAGAGTTCCTGTRAAGTTTTCATCATCTTCACAAAAAACACGTTTTCATGGGTCTGAGTGGAAAGTGTCAGAATACAGAGTATCTTAAAAACAAAGTAATGGTTCACTATCCTCACTGATGCCATCTCCATTGACCTACTTGAAGAGCCTCAAGTATCTGACAGTCATCACTCATTTTTAGACAATGAATAGCAATTAGTTTTCATCTTTTAGGGACAGTTACTTCTGTGATCACTCACATAAACAATTACAGGACCACCATGATGTAACATGTTCAGGACAAGAAGTTTATTTCATTATTCTGACCCAAGAAAAAGGCTGAAATGTAATATTTCTTTCCCCACTGGAAGAGACACTCCACTAACATCAATGAAAATGAGTGATAGAGAACCTAGTCTAGACATTTCTCTAGCCATAGGACGTTGTGAACACATCTCAGCATCAACAATGGGGAGATTAAAGAGTCACTATTGCAGATTTTCAGCAAACAAAAGGTTCTCAAAAAGACAAAGCCCATTTTGACAGGTGTATTTCATTCAACTTAAGAAAYGCATTTGAGTTGAAAATGCTGAGGTCTCTACTTTTGAAGCTKTTGAAAATAGAGCCCTATAGGCATRTAAGTACATATTTTCTAATGTTTATTTTATCAAATTCACATTTAAGAATCACACAAGCCCTGTGCACTTCACCGTGGACAGTAGGCAATTAGTTACTTAGGTCTTTGGAGGGGTTTAAAATAGTCTTTCCTYAATACCCAGCACACAAATCCTCACAGCAGGTGTGCAAGGGTGTTACAGCAGCCATGTTCTGCTGATATCCTTAAGGACTGTACCCACGAGCAGTGGTGTGCTCACTATTCCCATTCCCAGAACACTGAGATGGACACTGGCATTACAGCCAAGGCGTGACAACAATTTAAGAATCCAAGCTGGAACAGGCACTTAGTCGTCCAAGATCAACAAAAGGGGGATTTGTTAAAGATGCTGTTATGACATCATGTGTGGGTGCCTTTCTTTGGGAATAAATGGTGATGAATAATCAATAGAGTTCTGGCTAATGAACACAGCCCTCAGCTGCTCAATTCTCATGGTTTTCATCTATCTATGAGAAGTTGATGGTCTGTGAAACAGCCTGTGAAATTAGCRTCTAACCTTTAGGAGTGCAGGAACACATTAGAAGAGCTGCTTCCACTATGATATTTCCTCCTAACCAGACTGATTGGRAGGAATTCCTGAACTGGCACCAATGCCCACATTTATTCGGCAGAACTGTTACTGGTACAGGGATGTTTATATTCAGAATTTCTCTTGGACTGTCTGCCTCCTCATAATTGCCATCCTTTCAGAAACCTCATTTCCTAGATCCACTGCCTTCAGACGAGCAGGAGTCACCCAAGGGAGGAAACCAACCACAGCAGCACCCTTTTTGGTGAACAACAGATCACTGGGAGCCCACTTACCTCATCCACCTGGGCCTGTGTCTGCTGCAGCCGCTTGTTACTGGACACATTGCTCACAGGAGGGGGCCCTGCAGCCCCTGCAGCACTGGAGGGACCCTGGGTAGAAGCTGGAACAGACCTAGATCAAAACCAGAGAACATAAGTGACTGAAACTATCTTGTTCACTACCCCTTTTTTGGAACTTGTAAAAAGTACCTATCTCTTCAAAGAWTTTTTCCATTATTTCAACTCATATTTTCCATTCCTAGACACAATCCTACTGCTCCATTCCTTCCCATACCACAATCAGTTTTCACATTATTGTTTATAAGRCTTGATCAAGCTCTTCTGCCTCCCTTGCTACTTTTTAAACAGGAAACAATTCAGATTATCTACCCTAAGTTAGGCAAATGGCCAAACTGATCACAGGTCTGACTAGAAGGGCAGAGCTTATGTCCCATTAAGGAAACACACACTGCTCTGAGCACTTTGTGTTAAGGCACTAAGAGCCAGGGCTGTGGCCCTGTCTTCATCCTCAGTGTGCTGAATAAAACACTCCCCTGCCCCTTGGTGTTTGGACTTAACCAAGTAAAGATAAAGAATGGAGAGGAGAAAGAAATGGAGGAGGAAGTGGGGGTGAGAATTGCACACAGAATGGGGATAGCCATCTTTGGCATTCTGCAATGCTCAACCACCCCACCTGTGGTCACCAAATGCCCCACCAGAGGAGCTTAATGATCTGCCACAGACCCTATTCACTGTAGCAATGCCATGAACAGAGCCCTGATCTTCTGCAGATCAGCTCTTCAACACTGGCTTTCTCYAGCTTGCTCTAAAACAAAGGGCAAACCAAAGAGTCTTGAAAATCCAAGAACAGATCTAGTCTGTCTTGGAGTACGAGTTTGTGCAGACAAATCACCCTGCCAGCCTGAACAAGGTCCCTAAACCTTAGCCAGTCACCCTTCACACCCACACTTTAACCTGTGAAACCTCACCTCTTCTTTCAAGGGACCCCTCGTGCTTCTTCCCTCATGGAAATAAAGCCCTTCCTGAACTGCAGAGGAAATCCCTAAGCATGTGAACTGAAAAATATCACAAATCCCACTCATGAATTACCAATGCCTTCCCACAGTGACAGACTGAGAGAACACAGTGTTTCACTGTGAATCATTCCCTTCTACATCCTGGGGTCTGATTAATGCTGCTGGAATTATGGCCTCATTAATACACTGTCAAAGCGCCTGGGGGCCCTAAAGTTAGTTCTCAAAAGGTACCTTAAGCTGCAAAATTCATTTTGACAGTATTGCCTGAGGGCTGAGATCCCCGAGGATAGTGCTGACCCTCAGAAGCTCCCAGAGATGGAGCAGCTGTTTGCAGACCTGCAGTGCTGCTGTAGCTTACACTTCACTTTTTAACTGTGGGTGAGAATGTAATTAGCAAGCTTTAGCTGAAAGAAAAGAAATTGAACCATGCACTACTTGCTCATCCTTTGAGGACTTCACAGCCACCACTAAAAACATAAAAACAGATGCTGCTGCCACCTGCAACAGAATCACTCCCTCGATGGCCATGGGCCAATAAATCCAACAGGATTTATTCTGAGTTGTCACAAAGGATCAAAATCTGACTATAATGTACATCRCAGTCACACAACAGAAAACAAGTTCTCCCTGGAGCATCAACAACTTCAAAGGGAGATCCTGGTACAACAACAGAGCTAAAAYTGAAATTGTAAAACTTCTTTGCAGTTAMGGAAGTAAATAGGCATTTTCCCAATCAACACAAGCAGACTCTTTCCTATGGAAACACTGCGTCATTACTACAAACGTTAAGAGAACTCCTTTCTTGAGTTTTGCACTGTTAGAATCCCAGGGACTACAGAAGGGGAGTGTGTGAGAAGAGTTTTTCCCTGCCACATGTTTTGCTGTAAGCATAGCTTATAAATGCAGTGATGTTCTTGGTCAGAGCTAYGAGATAACTCCAAAGTTTGGAGCTCTGCCATGCACCTTTTCTGCCTAGTAATTCTCATCTTTTTTTTTGCGCCTCCCAAGCTGTCCTTAAAATGACTTGACATACAGTAGACACTTTCAAGGCTGTTCTCTTCCAGCATTCTTGCTGCCATCTAATTTGGTTTCAACTGCGTTTTCTGGGGCTTCTCTGCTCTCTGTATAAGGGAGAAAAGGATTGGAAGAACGGGTGTTTTTTACAGCTGCCCTGACCATTGAGCAGGAGTAACTGTAACCACCAAAGAGAGATGACAATCTTTATGCTAAGGCACAGCAAGCTTGTAATTAACATACCCATCTTAATTAATTACCTAAAATCTAATTCCAGKGTAACCAGAGCTGGGCACTGCCTGCAGTGCAGAGCTACTCTTTCCAAACCTTTTGTCTCTGGAACTGTGTTCTTCTTACATAGAAAGAGCAGTGGCCTTGCTCGCAGGCTCCAGGGTCAAAGCACTGAGCTGCCCCAAAYAGAAGAGCACTCACCCAAAGAGAGAGGGACAGCACAAGTTCCCAGACAGGCTCAATAAATYCAGTCCCTAAGCACAAGGCTTTAATGCCACCAGCAGCTCTCGCAGGTTACCAAGGCAGGAGCCCTGTCCTGTCCTGTCAACATGCAATATCCAAAACAAACACAAAAGACAGCTGCAGCCCCTCCTGGCCTCCCAAGGCACTTCAGAACAGGACAGAGGGGGCTCCGTGCTCTGGCTCAGCCCTATCAGTGTGAAGAAAGTATCCTGGGAAGAAGGCAGCAGCTCACTGTGCTAATGTGGCTCCAGTCACACACAGCAGCCATTAAGAGTTTGTCTTTAAACTTAAGTTTTCAGGTAAAGAAAGGAGCCAAAGGCCTGCATCACTTGAAAGCACAGACATTCTCTGCGATATATTARTGCAAAATTCTAGAATTAAAGTCCATCTTACATTTACATAATTCTTCCTGCTTTTACATAATTCTTCTGTTATTGCCTCTGTACCATGTCGTATCAGCTTATAAYTTCTCAGAAGTAATATTCAAAGACATTTATGCAAAAACATTAGCACTATGCTATAGAAGCTTCCTTTTGAAATACATGAAGCATCAAAACTTTAAAGTTTAATTTCTCATGGTCTGGCATGATTTTGGGGAGCTGCAAAAGGATGCAAAATCCATACAAAATCTCCATCACTGGGCCCCTAGCCATCAGACTTGTGTACCTTTTTTAAGAAAAGAAAAAAATTACCATTGGTGCTGAGAACCTTCATTCCCAAGAACAAGTCAAATTAATTTTAAAAGTGGAACAAAATTCTATTATTGTTGGTGAAAAAGAGTATGAATCCCTAGCAAATACCCTTAAATGGCAGCCACTCTGTGACGTCAGAGCGCTGGAATACACTCTGGGACAGTGATGAGTACATTTACTTCAGGACAACTGCACCACTTGCTTAGAGCCTCAACAGGCAGGTCAGCCTTTATATAACRTTAGTTCCATCCCCACAGCCAGATTTGGTCCAGTTAGCACATGAGCAACCCGACTGACTGACAGCAGTGCAGGGTCTGTGTGTGCAGCTACCTTGGCAAAAACATCCAGGGACTATCTGAGTGATTCAGCAGAATGGTCTCAGCTGACTCAGACATCCTCAGTTCTTCTAGCTGGGCCTGAAACTGGTGGGTCAAATTCATGACTAAGGGATTTGTCATCTCGCTTAGATGTTTTGGAAGCAACTTGCTATTTACATCTGACAGTTAAAGGGAGCTACAACTCTAATTAAAAGAGAATTGGAGATACCCAGTGTTACTGTTTTGCATTTCAACACTGTCTGAAAGAATATTAAGGACGATTGTGTATCTAATATTTTGGGAAAACATCTGACACACACTTTCATTTTTGTTCATATGTGTGAGCTACATAGCAGAGTGTTTYCACTTAGTCAAGCTAGGGAAGAGAAGGACCTCCAAGGCTGCTTTCAGCATCTTCTTTTATCCATCCAAAGTGCTTTTTAAAGCCACCAACTACAGGACATAATCCCTTCAAATTCTTTATCCTAACAACACTGCAATAAGCTAAGGAAAAGCTATTATCCCCACATATGGCTGGGAAACAGGTATAGGGAGATTAAGTGACTTGTTCCATGGCACAGCAAACCTGTGGCAAAGCAGCCCAGCCCTCTTCATTGCCATCCTTTTTCTCTTCTCCAACTACTGACTCAAGTCAAAGCTCACAGCCTATTTCTAATAACAGGAGTTATTTTCTGCCCCTCAGACTTAAATAGTGTGAAATGTAGTTAAAGCTTATAGCACAAGGAAAGTGAGAATAACATCAGACAGCTTTAGGGGGTGTCAGCTGGCAAAAGCTCAGGGGAGGGGCAGTGGATTTGCATCAATGCAGCAGATCTGACTAATGACTCCTATCCCCAAAAATGAAATTAAGTAGGCCATTTTCTAAGAACCCCAGTCTGAGTCCTCTTTCTTCAAAACCTTTCCCTGATGTTCAAATGAAACAAAATTGCACTGCCTCTCTTCCTTTTTTTTTTTTTTTTTTTTTTTTTTTTTTTTTTTTTTTT